GACTCCTGAGTAGCCGGGACTACAGGCGCATACCACCTCACCCGGCTAATTTTAGTAGAGATGGAGTTTCACCATGTTGATTAGGCCGGTCTCAAACTCCTGACCTCAAGTGATCCCCCCACCTTGGCTTTCCAAAGTGCTGGGAATACAGACGTGACCCACCATGCCCAGCCCAAGTGTATAACTCTTTTCTTGGTCAGAACATCACTTTCTCCAGGAACCTTATTTTGATCTTCTAGGTTTACATTAGGTTTTCTTTCTACAGAATTATCCTGTGCTTATCACACCATGAGGTAATTAATTCCCTGCTTCTTTATCCTTGCAGGGATATCCTGGTTCTTTGAAAGATTGAATGAACAAACTCCCAAGGCTGAGTTTGGAGAGCCGGGGCAACAGGTGGAGTGAGGGAGGCAGGATGGCAGCACCTAGAAGGCTGTGGAAAATTTGCCTTCAGGGCATGCAGATGATGGTTATCAACCCCCACTCTGCTGCCTGGTTGATTGCTAGGCTTCTTACACCCTCTGGGTTGCTCTCTTCCTATTGGCTTGCCGTAATTCATAAAAGATATGTTAGTGTCTATTGCCAAATATTAAGAAAGTCAGCTGGCTCCAGAATTCTAAGTGGCAAATGTTTACTATAAGCCAGATGAAGACAGCCTGTTCCCTTAGCAATATTTTGCTCTAAGTAAGAGGAAAATTAGTCTAAAATTAAATTTAGATATAATGTCAAAAAGAATCAGTGCATATCTGTCTACTTATTTTTAAGATATTATTTGCACCTAATTTTCTTAATATGGGAGCAGTCTGTTCCAGATTAGAAAAGTACAAAGAACTTCAAATAGTATATTTTTCTTTTGTTCTGCTTTGTTCTGGATTTGGTAGCTTAGGAACACTCAGATGAATTATGTTTGGACAAGAATAATGGCCACTTGTGAATGTAGACCTCTGTTAAAATGCACTTTGTATGTTCTCATAAAAGTTATTCACCCTGAAATCTTGTTTTAGCTAGTAAACTGATTCAATCTGAAAGTAGATGAGTTTTAAAAAGTCAAATAAAATGCAATTTCTATTTCCTTTTTTCATTTTAAGCCTATTCTCTGATGATTCCTTTCTCATATTTAAAATTCTACTGGGCCCAGGTAAGAGGCAGTCAGATAATTAAAAAAGAAGTTAAAGAGAAATGCAATGGATGAATGTTTTCTAGAAGCTCAGAAAAGGCTGAGTATACCCATTGCCATTTGTTTGAGTCTATTAGGGAGCTATAGTGCAGAATATTGAATTTAAGCATAGTGATTTTTCTAGATATCAGCATCAGTAACCAGAGGGCTTGCTCTTCATCAAGGTAATCTTCATCCTTCATAAGCTTGGCTCTGAATAAATAGAAAGTATTGATTAAGAAAAGTGAGGATGCGGAATCATGTTGATGTTTCGTAGGTTTTCGATAGTACTCCTGGTGTTGATTATCTGCCTTGGTCTCTGCTGTGAGCCCAGGGTGTCTCTTCAGAAATGTTCTGTGTTTTGCCCTTAATAATAAGCTTTTGGGTTAAGTAAAAAAGAAATAGAAAGCTTTGTCTCTGCCTTTGAAGGGTGTAGGAATGGTTAGGGAGAAAAAACCCCAGAAAATTCAAGCACAGTTAGCAAGCATCAGGAGAACATGGGCAATACAATCTGGTATGAAGCGGGGTCTGTGGAGTAAAGAATCATATATCATGGAGAGAGCACAGTGCCGTGTCTTAGAACATGAGTTTGGACTGCCTGGGTTTGATATCATTCAGTACTGTTATATTTAATTTGTGACATTAAGAAAATTACTTAATCCCTAGGCAAAATAAGGATAGCATAACATTCACTTCATTTGGTTCTAAGGACCAAATGAAATAACATGTAGAAAGTGATTATCATGATACCTAGAACATAGTATATGCTCAAAAAACATTAGCTATTATTATCGATATCATAGGCAATATTTTTGATCAGGGAATTACTTAAAGGAAGTAATTTTCTACTCATTTCCTAACATGCTATCTTTCTCTCTTGCTTTTCTTATCTTATTTCCAAACTCAGCATTATCTAGACCCTTTAAAAAGTTTATCAAAGTTGAGAAACAATAACACTTATTATTAAAAATAATGTACTGGCCGAAGGCAAATTGCCTTAAATGCATTACCTCTTAATCTTGCCAACAACTTATAAAGTAGTTAGTATGTACAGACTAACTTATATATATCAACATAAATGGGTGTTTTGATATTTTCCTTCACATATTAACTGAATAAAAATGTTTCTATGTATGATCCAAGTTTTCTTGCAATTTCAATGCAAACTGGTAGTAATATTTGCCAAGAAAGATAATAATAATTGCTACATAATAGAAATATAAATATATAGTAATAATAGTTAACACTTATGTAATTGTTGCAAGCACTCTTCTAACATAAACATATATGTATATATGTATGTGTGAGAATTAATTTAACACAATTACAAAAAGTCATATTGATTATGAGGACCATCAACAATGTATTCTTTTGGCCACTCTCTAGTGCTTTTTATCAGCTCTGGGTATATTTAACCCAATTTTAAAAATTCTGGAATTCCTTAATTTCTGGAATTTGTACCTGTCAGTCAATGCTTAAAAAAGAAAATGATTAAGAAACAAAAATGGAACTAATTCTTGATAACATGTTATCTTATTGCCCCCAAAAATCCACGATAACATCAATAACAACGGAGTCTTATAACCTAAGCAGAGTTCCCAGGACAATTAATAAATATTTGTGTCAAAATGTCAGATTATCTTCCCAAGATCAGGTTTTCCTAACATTTTTCTTATCAGAAACTTTTTTTTCTCTTTTCCAGTCACAATTTCCTTTTATTCCAAGACCACATTTACACAGCAATATTTCTTTAAGCAAGAGATTGGGAAGTCCAGGAGCAGCACTTGTAATACCTGAGCCAGATGAGGTTTTGTTATCAAGGATGAGGTTTTCCAAGCCAGATGAGTTTTGAAACAGAGAGGGGCCACCAGCCAAGGATGCAAGCAGCCTCTAGAAGCTGGAGAAGACAAGAAAAACGATTTTCCATTTCAGCCTCCCTGTGGATTCATTTTGACCTTCTGACTTCCAAAACCAGAAGACAATACTTTTGTCTTGTTTTAAGCCATTACATTTGTGTTAATTTGTTACAGCAGCAATAGGAAACTAATGTGAATACTAAATGGGAGAATCATTATTTGTTCAAATCTGGTCTTCAAATGTGCCTGTTTCAACTAAAATGTGTTTATGATTCTAAATTATGTATTTTGTCCATTTTAACATCTTGGGAATTGAGATGCATCTAAGAATCAATGACATCTTACAATTGCTGCTGGTCAGAAATGCAAAGCTGCTGTAGTGGCATTACCCTTCTTTATGGAACCTAGAAGCACTGTCAACAAAACTTGCAGAATGGGTGTCAACTATTTCAAAGAAAATGTCAGAAAAAATCATGGAGTGCTATTGAAAACATTTTGTTTTGAAATAATTGCATACTTTTAGGAAAAAATAATACAAATAACTTCTTTATAAGCTTGACCCAGATTCCACAAAGATTAACATTTTACCACATTTATTTGACCATTATTCTATCTCTACCTAGGTAATAAGTATTGGTGTGTTTTTGTTTCTGGAATAACTTGAGAGTAAGTTTTGGGTATGCAGACACAATGCCCTTTGCACCTAAATAATACATAACCATAGTACAGATATCAAAATTAGCCCATTAGCATGGGTAAAATATTCTTACCTAAAGGCATTCCAATTCTGTCAATTGTCCCACAGATGCCACTCCCTCCCCCAACCCCCATTTTGAGACAGAGTCTTGCTCTGTCACCCAAGCTAGGGTCCAGTGGCACCATCTTGGCTGACTGCAACCTCCACCTCCTGGGCTCAAGCCATTCTCATGCCTCAGCCTTCTGAGTAGCTGGGATTACATGTGCCTGCCATCACACCTGGCTAATTGTTTTTGTGCTTTTGGTAGGGACAGGGTTTTGCCATGTTGGCCAGGCTGATGTCGAACTTCTGAACTCAAGTGATCTGCTTGCCTCAGCCTCCCAGAGTGCTGGGATTACAAGCATGAACCACCACTCCCCACCCCACAGATGTGCCTTTTTAGCAAAAGAAAGGGTTACATGTTGTATTCAGTTGTCTTGTCTCTTTAGTCTCCTTCAATCTGAACAATTCTTCAATCTTTCCTCTTTTATGACCTAACAGTTTTGAAGATTACAGGCCAGTTATTTTGTAATTGTTGTATCTTAATCCGAGTTTGCTCTCATGTTTATTCATGATTAGATTCAGGTTATACTTTTTTTTGGTGGAGGAGAAGCGGGGCAGGAAAATCATAGATATCCATTTTCAGTGTAGCACATTAGGAGTTACCTGATGATGTCATTTTGTCTTATCACTAATGTTAACTTTGATCACTGGGTTAACATGACATCACCAAGTTCCTCCATATTGTAGTTACTATTTTTCCTTCAGTAATTAACATGTATCAGGTAGGAAGTAACTCTGCTCATTTAAATATCTTTTTTCTTCTCATAATTTCTTAATAGAGCACTCTTCTAAACCATAGGAACAAAATGGCTGTGGAGGAGGTATGGGAGGTGGTGAGTCACATGTGTTTGCAAGGCGCTTGCATTGGGAGTCAAAGGGATGCCAGCCAGCTTTATGTAGTCTCAAGTAGTTCAGAGCCTTGCACCAACGGCATTTGGTTCTTTGGTAGATTATTTTATGAAATGCTGCAGTGCAGTTAATGTAACAGAGGATATTTTGTGAAAATAAAACATGAGATTGGGCCCAAAAGGTAGACTTTGATTTAAAAAATTGTAGAAAAAAAACCCAATTTATTTACCTTATTTTTTTTTTTGGTATGTGCACACAATAATGCATAATAAAAAGTCTACATACAATTAAGTAACAAAGATCTTTTAAAATAAATATAAATGAATATTCTTAGTGTTAGGAAAGTCTTCTGTCATAATTTTTCTTTTTTATTAGTACATTATGGCATGTTTTACAATTATGGTGTCTTAGATTCCGTATGATGGAAGCTTTGACATTATAGGGTAAGGACTTTGCTGATCTAGGCTTACTATTTTATTCTTTGCTTTCATTTCCCTCTAAATTGTATTCTTTCACTTTCTAAAAGAAAGTTAGATGAAAATAATTTACAATGTATCATCAGCATGATGAGCCCTAGTCAAAACTATGAAGTAGAATAAATTCTTGCTATTTAGAAAATCCCGTTGGTGGCATCTAATCATTATTTCTCCCTCTCTTACCACCCACTCCTCTACACATAAGGGACACAGCTGCTCTTAGAAAAAAATTCAGATCAACTTATTTAAAGTGAGTTAGGAAAGACAGTAGCATCACTCAGTATTCTATCTCAGCATATTTGGATTTTTGTGGGTACAAAGCCCTAGGTCAGCTTGACTAAAGAAATGAAGCCTGAACACTGACACATTTTAGAGCTTCATGAGGTATTATTTTTAGAAAGCTGGGAAGATTTTTATTTTTATTTTACTACATAGAAAATAGCCCAGGACTAAGCAGCCTACCTGAGGTCTTCTGGATACAGTCAGAGAGGTCTGTTTTAGTCACTGTATTTCTTTTGCATGATGAATGAAACAAGAGTAGTAGCATAACCAGAGATTCTGTAGTCACAAAATAGTCTATTTACCTTCATGAGACATAAACACATAATTTCTAAAGTCAACAAACTCAAGGAAGACCCAGATTGGAGGCGATTTTTCAGACATCAGTGACAAAAAGTATAGATTAGAGTAAAAGCCTGTCTCATGAAAAATGAAAAGATTTGGGAATACTGTATTACTCTGCAGAGGGAAGATTAAGGGAAAAATGTGTTTGGTGCAGTAAAAAATATGAACTAGGAATAAGCGGTTCTTTACTAAAACTACTCTGGGCCTCTATTCTTCTCCCATTACTAGTCTGCACCTGAAAAATTATACTGTCTAAATCCAGGAACTTAAAAGGACCAAAAGTCGTTAGTATTGGGTTATAACAATGTAAATCATTCCCTATTTGACAAATAACCACTTATACTAAAAAAATATGTTATTTTGACTGCTGGTTCTCACTGATAGGTAAACGCAGAAAAACAGGTGGTGACAACTTTAGCAGCTGCAGTGAACAGAATTACGACTTCCTTTTCTTTTGGCTCTTAGGAGTTCTCCAGAGGTACAGTAGAAATATCAACACCAGATGGCTCGAAAGCAGATAATATTCATTTTTTATTTATGTCCCATCTATTTCTAAAAAACGGATTTAATATAGTTCAAAATCCCAAATCATTGTCAGAGTGGAAACTTCTAATTGTTCTGAATATAAGTCTCCCTAGGGGGAAAAGTGCTGTTTTCAGTGCTTTACAGAGCAAATCTCTTGGTTTGTTTTTTTATAGAAGTGTTTATAGTAGTTAGTACTTCTTTGACAGGGCTTGTGACTTGAATTGCGATGGTAGGGACCCACCTTGGTCCTGATCCAAAGATTCTAGAAAATAGAAATCATTAGAAGAGTATGCAGGATATGATCTAGGATGTTTCTTTAACTACTTAGATTAAGTCTGAATAGAAACAGTTTAGTTTCTGTAAATGCTCATTAGTAGTTTTACATCTTGCTTTGCCGAAAGGAAAAGACATAATGATAGAAATGAAAACGAACTAACATTTTGAGAAATTAATATATGCTAAATTTTCCACTCTGACAGAAGCAGTCTCTTTGTCTTAGGTTGTCTTTTTGATGGATGTGCAAAAACTGCATGTGATAAAAATCTACGTTTTACAAGCAGGGACAGCTACGTAATTTGCAGGGCCCGGTGCAGAATGAAAACGCAAGCCTCTTGTTCAAAAAGCAGGAAACATGCTTTTTCCTATTTCTAAAGTTTTTTCTCTACTAGTCACAGTATTTTTAAAATTGTGTTATTTACTATTGTGGTTTCCTGGCACGGGGCTACTTGCAGGATGAGTGCAAACCCTGACGGGAACCCAGAGCCCTGCCCTGATACTTGGCAAGCATGGCTTAAGACTCCGTCTACAGATCCTGTGGGATGGATGTTTGGTGGTATTATTGTAGGAATTCTTCGGTCAGGCTTCCCAACTTTTATCTGCGCAAGAAGTTAAATCATCATAAAACAGAACATTTAAATGGATGTTCCCTTCCTTGTTCAGATTTAAAGACATTTAAAGACACTTGGCAAGTAGAGTGCTTACATCTGGCCCCGTCCCTCTCTGTGTCCCTATCCAGGCCTCAGTTGGGAGTGGAGGGCACCAGTGTTGCCGGGGGTGAGGAGAGCATCTTTGAGAACTCATCCTGGGGAGATGTGTAGGCAGGACCCATGTGAGCAAAGGCTCCAAGGCTCCAAGCCTCCAGTGCCTGCTCCAGGTTCCACAGGACTTCACTTACAAAACTCAAAGTCAAAGAAAATTACGAATGTCAAGATAGTGGCCTCTGGGCATTAAAGCCTAAACATAAGGCTCATCCGAGTGTGAGAATCTGCATGACCGTGTAATTGCGCTGGTTGTACAGCTCTGCTCATAAGGTTTTGTGATTCTTATTTTATAGATAAAGAAGTTAAAATGTGTGTTCACACACTAAGTCACAGAATTAGAAATTCAACTTACGTTAATTTGGCTTCTATCCCTGTACCTGGGACACTATGCCAGCATATCTTGTTGGTTACTCTGTTCTGGGATTTACCCCAGGGCTCTGATTTTGCAATGTGTCTTCTTACTTGAGGGAGATGTTATCCAGTGTTAATATTTCAAATGTCTTTACAATAAGCTGAAATTATTGCATTTCTATTATCAAAATGCTAATGTCTATAAATCTCCATGTTGCAGATACCTGGAAGAGAAATGTGACTTTTGCTTATTTTTATTTATTTTTTTTGTATGCAAAGTCTCACTCTCTCGCCTAGACCACGGTGCAGTGGCATGATCTTGGCTCATTGCAACCCCCGCCTCCCAGGTTCAAGCAATTCTCGTGCCTAAGCCTCCCGAGTAGCTGGGAGGCTACAGTTATGTGCCACCACGCCCAGATAATTTTTTAATATTTTCGTAGAGATGGGGTTTCACCACGTTGCCCAGTTTGGTCTCAACCCCTGAGCTCAGGCAATCCGCCCACCTCAGCCTCCCAAAGTGCTAGGATTACAGGTGTCAGCCACTGTGCCTGGCCTTATTTTTCTTAAGTGCTTTGAGTACCCTATTCCTATTAAGACAGTGTGCTTCTGGAAAGAATTCTGTAAACTCAGTATAAAGGCTAACAGTTCTCTTGGTCACTTCCTAGACAGTATTCATTTTCTTATTGTATTGACTCTCCACCTACCTGCACGGGGAGCTTGAGAAACTGGTAGGCCCCATAGTTCAACAATCAAGGCAGAACCTCTGGGGTGAAGACTGGGAATCAGCGCTTCCACATTTTCCTGGTGATTCTCATTTGTAAACACAGTTGTGAACTACTGCTTTGCCTATCACATTGAGTAACCTGACATGAAATATGTTATTTTACAGGAGCCTTTCAGTATCAGAATAAATTTCAAGTTACGTAGCATTGTTGCCACCTAATAGTCAAAATTTTCAATTATACCTGCATATGATATGTTCAAGCCAATGTAGAAATATTTCTCCTGTATATATTTATTAGTCATAATGGACATCTACTTACACTTCAAAAAGTAGCATATTGTGGGAAGTAGAAAAGTTCCTTTTTAAAGTTTCCTTTCTTGTTAAAGACTAAGTGTGCTAATAATTTTATTAAGCCCTATCCTATGTAGCTGTTAGACATGCCATGCTTACAGGCACGTAGTACATTCTATGTCCTTGTACTTTAACCAAGATGTTTGTGCTGGACGTGCTCACAGGCATGTCCCAGCTCGCAGCCTACCTTATACCTGCAGCCCCTTCCTTATTTGGACTTCCTTTTTTTGTTGTTGTTCTCTATTGCTTTTACCTGTTTAGAGGTCTCAAGCTATTAGCCAACTGGGTTTCAGTTTAGATTGTGAGGTCTGGCTCCAGCCAACGGAGACACAGCAGTAAGGACAACCCCAAATGGGTAAGAAAGAAATATGACTGCTTTTCTTTGCTCATTGTACTCTCGTGGCAAGATTGCTGATGGGAATATCCTTTCTGTAGGAAGCAAAAAGAATTGCTTTGCTGAGAGATCCTTTGTCCCACTACTAATTTTTCTTTGTGGCACCAAAAAGAAAAATTTTATACATAACACATATGGTATACATATGGAAATCATATGACTTAAGACCTTGTCTACAGATCAAGCTGGCTGGATGTTTGGTGGTAATATTGTAGGAATTCTCTGGTCAGGCTCTCCAACTTTTATCTGCGCAGAAGGTTAAATCATCATAAAGCGGCACATTTAAACTGATGTTTCCTTCCTTGTTCAGATTTAAAGACATACCTTCAACTTTTATAGAGACAAATATGAGCAACACCAACGTGAAGGAAAGTCTCTGGATTTCCCACAACTGTAACTGAAAGTAGTCATCATTGTGTTAATATTTAGATGTGTCCCACCTGGAACAAGGTGATGGCTTTTGGTCAACTTCCCTTTAGCACAAATAGAGGAATGCTGGTGGGGTTTATGTTTAAATATACATTATGCACACAAATATGTATTTTGCAATGACTCTGCACCATTTTTCCTTCTTACTCCAGAGGATAGAACAGTAAACAAATCAAGATAAAAATCTTTGTCTTCATTAACTTTACATTCCAGTAGGAGGAAACAGACAATAAACAAAATAAATGAATTTTAACCACTAGAGGCTGATAGCTGTTTTGAAGAAAAAGAATGTGACAAGGGAACTAAGAACATTGCAGTGGTAACATGATATGTGTGTGTGGGTGGGGGTGTTAATTTTAAACGGGGTTACCGGGAAACAATTACTGAAAAGGTGACATTTTAATAAAGGCTTGAAGAAGGGGAAGTGGTGAGCTGAGAAGGAGTCTAGAGGCTAACAGCAAGTGCAGAGCCTGGCATTCTCCAGGAATCCCAACAGGACTGTATTTCTGGAATGGAGGGGACAAGAGTGAGAAGGTTCCCATAAATGGTGAGGTCAGAGGGATTTTGAATTTCTGCTGCTGAAGGTACTGAGGAGAATTTTATAAAGCAGTAAGGCGAGTGATATAAAAGATTCACTATCAGAGGAGTACTTGGACCAGATAGCCTTTAGGGTCCCTAGGAAATGCCATGAGGTGCACTTTAGTCTTTGAGAAGGTGTCTTCAACTTCAAAACCAGTCGGGAAAAAACAATGAAAAGTCAAATTCAAAGTTGCCCCCTCTTGAAATGAAAACTCCATGAAGACAAAGGGTTTTACATTTTTTGTCCATTGCTTTGTCTCCAGGAGCTACAAGTGTGCCTGACACACAATATCTGCAAAACGAGTATCTATTGTTTAAATAATGATCATCGAAGTTGACAATCAATCAGCCTCCGCTTTATTCTTGCTGACAAGAAGTTAATTGAAAATCATCCACTTGTTCAACGTTAAAAATTTGGGGTTGTAGTTTTAACATACCTTTCTTTTATAACCATAAACGTATTTTAAAGACTGAAGACAATTGGTCATGTTGCAGTTTTGGCACTTAACATCCTATATCTGCAGGAGAAGATATCTCTTCTCCCAGGTATGTGCATGGCACAGTTCCTCAGGGTCTGTTCAAACCTTCTCTATCCAAATGTCACTTCTTTGACTGCCTTATCTAAACATGCCTCATCTCTTGACTGTTACTTCTATTTGCTTTATTCTACTTTATTTTTATTTTTTGAGATGGAATTTCACTCTTGTTGTCCACACTGGAGTGCAATTGCGTGATTCTGGCTCACTGCAAACTCTGCTTCCCGGGTTCAACTGATTCTACTGCCTCCCAAGTAGCTGGGATTACAGGCACGCACCATCACGCCTGACTAATTTTTGTATTTTTTTTTTTAGTAGAAATGGGGTTTCATCATGTTGGCCAGGCTGTTCTCAAACTCCTAACCTCAGGTGATCCTCCCACCGTGGTCTCCCAAAGTGCTGGGATTATAGGCATGAACCACCACTCCCAGCCTGCTCAATTTTTTTTTTAATATGGACTGTGAGTTGAATCTTTTCTCCCCAAAATGACAACTTGAAGTCCTAACCTTCAGGATCTCAGGATGTGATCTTATTTGTAAATACAGTGTTTGCAGATGTAGTCAAGATAAAATTATGAGGGTGGGTTCTAGTCCAATATAACTGGTATCCTTATAAAAAGGGGAAATTTGGACATAGATATAGATGTGCAAAGAGGGAAGAATATGTGAACAGATATAGGAATAACACCATGCGAAGACAGAGTATTGGAGTGATGCATGTGCAAGCCAAGGAATGCCAAAGATTGCTAGCAAACCACTAGAAGCGAGAGAAAGGCCAGGAAGATTTTCCTCCAGGTTTCAGAGAAAGCATGGCTCTGTCGACATCTTGATTGAACTTCTAGTCATAAGAACTAAGAAACAATAAATTTCTGTTATGTTAAGTTACCCAGTTTGCAGTACTTGGTTATGGCAGCCCTAGGAAATGAATACACCGCCTAGCATATGATGTACTGTTTTATTGTTCAATTTCTGCTTGCCCCTACTAGACTAATTACCCTCAGGAAAGAAACATAGTACATTTTCTTCACTTTTGTGCCTCAGGTACTTAGAACAGTGCTTGGCTCTCAATAAATATTTCCCAAAAGAATGTAAAGATAAATATTTTATAAAAATTGAACATAATATTTGTACCTATTTATAGGGTATATGTGATTTTTTTATATGCATAGAATGTGTAATGATCAAGTCAGGTAATTAGGGTACACATCACCTTGTCCATTTATCATTTCCTTGGGTTGAGAGCATTTCAAGTCCTCTTGTGTAGCTATCTTGAACTTTTCTTCTCCCACATATGAGTGAGAACATGCAATATTTGTTTTTCTGGGTCTGGATTATTTCACTTAAGATAATGACCTCCACTTCCATCAATGTTGCTGCAAACGGCATTATCTCATTCTTTTTTATGGCTAAATAGTATTCCATTTTGTATATGTATCACATTTTCTTTAATCATCTGTTGATGAACACAGGTTGATTCTCCATCTTTGCTGTTGTGAATAGTGCTAGAATAAATATGGGGGTGCAGATGTCTCCTTAACATACTGATTCTTTTCCTTTGGATAAATGCCCCATAGTGATGGATTGGATGGCAGTTCTATTTTTAGTTTTTTGAGAAATCCCCATTCTTCTATTGTGGCTGTACTAATTTACATTCTCATCAACGATGTACAAAGTTACCTTTTCTTTGCATCCTTGCCAGCATCTGTTATGCTTTTGTCTTTTTAATAACAGCTGTTCTAACTGGGATAAGATGGTATCTCATTTTGGTTTTAATTTACATTTCCCCGATGATTAGTGATGTTGAACATTTTTTCATATATTTGCTGGCCATTTGTATGTCTTCTCCTAAGAAATGTTAGTTAGACCCCTTGCCCACTTTTTAAAGGGATTATTACTATTTTTTATTTTTTGCTGTTGGAGTTCCTTGTGTATTTTTGATATCAGTCCCTTGTCAGATAAGCAGTTTGCAAATATTTTCTCCTATTCAGCAGGCTGTCTTTTCATGCAGTTGATTGTTTTTGTTGTTGTTGTGCAGAAGCTTTCTGGTTTAATACAGCACCATTGTCTCTTTTTATTTTTGTTGCCTATGCTTTGGAAGTCTTAGCCATAAAGTCTTTGCCTAGACCAATGCCCTAAAGTGTTTTCTCTACGTTTTTTTCCTAGTAGTTTTATAGCTTGAGGGCCTATGTTTAAGTCTAATTAATTTTGAGTTGATATTTATATGTAGTGAGAGATAGGGGTCTAGTTTCATTCTTCAGTGTATAGATGTCCAGCATTCTTGGCGCCATTTATTGAAGATGGCGTCCCTTTTCCCAATGTATAGTCTTGGCAACTTTATTAAAAAAATCAGTTGCCTTTAAATATATAGACTTGGTTCCAGGTTCTTTATTCTATTTCGTTGTCTATGTGTTAGCATTTGGATCACTGGAATGATGCTTTGGTTATTATAACCTTGTAATACATTTTGAAGTCAGGTGGTGTGATGCCTGCAGCTTTGTTCATTTTGCTGAGGATTGCTTTGGCTATCCAGGCTCTTTTCTGGTTTCATACAAATTTTGAGATTGCTTTTTCTCTTTCTGTAAAAAACATTATTTTTCTTCTTATTTTTTTCTACAAACTGCTTCTTTCTAAAAGAGATATCCAAATCCAGGTATTAACGAAGTAGGAAAAATTTCAATAATTACAAGCGTATAGTAGAAAATTTCACTTTATGTTTTGTTATGGTTCCCTAAAAAATACTCTGCAGTAGAAATAATTTCTCTGGTACGGGGAGTCTCAAACATCTTTGAGCATATCCAGGAAGGCACTGTCGCCAGGGATGGAAACATTGCCTGTACAGGAGACCCTGCTGGGTACTAAGGATCAGGTTATCCTACGTGTGTCAGGATGTTGCCTATTGCCTCTTGCCTGTTGATTCTGCAACAGAAATCTGCAATTTCTGGCCAGACTGCTCAATTTCCTTCCCCTTTGGTGTTACTGACCTCTGCTGTCATAAAGCAGCACCTCTGCTTGCTTCTATAGCTATTCTCTGGTTTCCAACCATTAAAACATTCAATAACCAATCTATCATTCTGGAAAACAAAACTATCCCCGAGTTCAAAGTCTACAGAGACTTTTTTGATTCTTTCCTAAAATGACTTTTTAGGTTTGAAAGTTCATCTGTGAGAACCATATAGGGTCATGTGTCTGTCTTTAGCATTACAGAAAAAGACAGATGGAGGCTGTTGTGTTCAAAAGAGAAAAGGAAACTCGATGCAGCTTCCCCTTTTCTTAACCACCGGATGTGCCTTCTGTGAACTCCAGTAATTGAGTGGCATTTGAAAAATTAAAAATTAAAAAAACCCCGACTGTTTGCATGGTTCCGTTAACCCTTACTCTATATAATTCAACCACTGAATCTGGCCAACCAATGT